GCCACCTAGAGGTGGCTCGGTTTTGGCCGAGTCCCCTTGGTGTTTGGGTTTTGCCATTTTTTTCGGTCTCGTGGTTGATTTGGACTCTGATTTGTTGATCTTGTAGGCATCGAAAATTGCCTATAGGTCTCCACAAACGGTTCAGTGTTAAAGAACGACGATGAACGTCACCATCCAATCCACATGAGCCTAATCGACGTCGACGAACGACTGAAGTGAGTCAGCGAGCTACGTGAGCGGATAGGACTTCGGAACAACGAAGACCCGGGCCAATCAGAAGCCCGGCAATCTTCATAAAAAGGACAACGCCCTTCATTCCTCGATCACTCTACAGATAATCCAACCACCAGAGCGGATCGAGCTCTTCGTCACGCATTCAACGCACCTTCTTATCGATCTAATCTCTCTTGTTGTGCTGCCGAAGTGCTGCCGAAATTTCCGCTGCGCACAACAGTGGGGAAGGATGGAAACCATAGTGATGTTACCGAGTGGGTTTGAACTATACGAAAGAGAATGCCCCCGAGCTTCTTCCTTTGGTTGTTTGCAGTGAGGTGTTTGATAGTAGTAAGGGTGGAGCAGAGGAAATTTGTGAAGAGATGGGCGTGCCATTTCTCGGGAAGGTGCCAATGGATCCGAAACTTTGTAAGTCTGCTGATGAGGATCGGTCTTGTTTCTTGGATCAGCAATCTGCTGCAGGTGCTGCACGAGCTCTTAAAAGAATAATAGAGAAGGTTGTAACTGAAGAATAAGCAGCAAACTAAGCAAGAAATTATGTGCAACTTTCTTTTATATGTGCAACCTTTGGTGTCTGTTTGTGTTCATTACTGAAGAATGGAGCGATAAATCTACGTGGTGCGGACTGAGATTTGAACTTCATCAATATGTAATTTATGGGATGGACCAGATTGAGTTGAAGTTAGAAGAAGGATATAATATACTCCTCGAATTTTTCACTTCCCCTGTCAAAGAAGTCTACCAGCTGAGTAAGTTCTTTCTCTTTATTTCTTTTCCTTTTTCTTTTTCATTTTTTTATTTTTGGGTTTTCATAGCCTCTTCAAGTTCAAGTATTTTATCAGGTATGATCTCTTTGCATTTTCCAGTATACCTCTTCATGCCTTTTGCCGCAAGAATCTTTAACTTGGTGTTTAGTGTAAATTTGATTGTCAATTACTTGGTCATGTGGATGATAATGCCAATACACTTGTTGTGCGCGCGGAAGCCACCAAAACTATGTGCTTCGAGAAACCAAGCCAAACAAACACCGAAAGTAGGCCAAACAAACCAAAAATAACGGCACAAACACAAACAACCAATTTTAACGTGGTTCGGCAAGTTGCCTACGTCCACGGGGCAAGAAGGGAATGGGGTTTTCACTAATAGAGAAGAAGAGTACAAACTGAGATTACAAATCACTCGATCTCACCAATTAATCTCCCCAACAAATCTCTAATTCTCTCCAAATAAAACCCTAACCAATAGCTCAGAAAATACCTTTTTTCTGTGCTCCAAATATCTCCAATTCACTGCTCACAAACCTTCAAAATCATGTTCTTATTTATATCAAAATAGAAACTCAAACAGAATCCAAATAGGAACTCAAACTGTGCAGAAAACCCGCTATAAGTCGACTTATCAGGCTCTATAAGTCGACTTGGCAGAGCGAAAATCAACAACTAGAGAACAGATCATAAGTCGACTTAACAGTGTCTATAAGTCAACTTGCCAGAGCCCAAAACAACAATTCCAAAACAGAACGTAAGTCGACTCATGCACAGACACAAGTCGACTTACCATAAGTCGACTTATGCCTGTGCATGAGTCGACTTATGACACAAAATTTGGTTTTTAAGATTTCTCCACAAATCTTCATATCGGCGAAATTTTCCCAAAACTGAGCCGACACCAATACAAACCAAACGTCCAACTTGTTGCGTTCAATACGAAGTGGAATAAAACCACAATAACGGACTCAATCCACAACAAGTAGAGACCCAAATGAGAATGCGATCAGTCTCCAAACGTCGGTATCAACTAACCAAACCGTCTGCATCATAAAATAATTGTCTATGTATCCTCTTGCCCAAGGATTCAAGCCTTCACGTAGTTCACCCAAATGACATTCAAATGCCCTCAATCAAATAGAAGAGTTCTCAACTCTTCACTAACAAATCTGCGGCTGATAGCTCTCCTAATGGCCCCAAAATGAAACAAACTAAACACCTCTATCTGAGATGAACCAACGGCCATATCCAAGTCCAAACTATGTCCATCAGCTGCACTCGAATCAACCAACTCATAATCTGCATCCAAATCCAAATGATTCCTAAACTGTGTCACCTCAGTTGGAATCCTAAACGATACAGTATGATCTGGAATATGTGGAGTAATCTTCACCCAATGTGGATTAGCATCACCCTCCACTCGCTACGATATCCCAACGATCTGATCAACACTCTCCACCTGCTGAGAGTCAAATGTAACATACCTGCTCAGAACAAAATCAGAGTCTCCCAACTGATAACCAAACGAGCCTCTGAATCCCAAATATGCTATCGGATCAAATCTCACATCCTCGATGTGACCAAATGCTGGGTAACAAAACATCCGACGCAACCTAAAATCTGAAACAGATCCACCAGATCTAAAATTTTCACACACAACAGTCGGCAACCTATGACTAAGATGATCCAAATATGTCGAAGACCGAAAACTCCTTTGTATCCAATGCTCGACAACCAACATTGATCCTCCTTCAGCAAGGAACGACCCATCAAAACTATCATCTTATCTCGCCGCCTCAATGTTTCATCTCCAATGAAGTGTCTCAAACTGTCGTAAGCTCGGCACAAACGCCAAAAAAAACCCTATAAAAAATAGAACAACGGGTTACTTTTCTGCTAATACACTTCCTCCATCTGTTATTGACTTCTAGGACTTCACACCAACGGGGCTTGGTTGCAACCCACCAATGCCTAAAACCTTCCCCAACCGCGGAAACTAAATACTGATTACCTCTCAATAATGCCTCCTTAGAAGGCCCCCAAATGCCTGAATGAACAACACTTAAAAGAATTGTTGAGATCGAGAGTGGAGATCAAACCTTGCAGGCGAGTTTCTCCAGCGAGGACAAAGCTCAGGCGAGGTCGATGGCAGCTGCAGGCGAAGCTCTCGAGCGCGGGCGAACTTTGGGCAGGCGAGATCTCTGTCAGGCGAGGGTTCTGTCAGGCGGATCTTGAGCAGGCGATCTTGTGAGCTGTAAGCGAGCGCTGCAGGCGAGTTGGCGACTTGCAGGCAAGATCGAGCGCTCGTTTTGGGGTGCGATCCAGGCTGTCGACAACCCATCGACAGCTCAGCTAGGGTTTCCCTATAAAAGGGAAACCCCAAGCTCGAGATGTGTTGGTCTTCTTCTCCTCATCTTCTCGTGTTCAGAGGTGGCGGATCTCCTCTGTCCTCTCGCGTTTTTTCTCCAGCTCTCTCTCTCTCGTGATTTTGGAAGAGAAATCAGAGGAAGGAATTAAAGAGGGGTATTTAAGAAGTGGGGGAATCTTACTGTAGCTACAGTTATGATTGTATTTATTGAGGAATCTCAAGTTTGAGATTCGCTCTTAAATTGTAATTTCTTGTTGAGATTAATAAGAAATTTACTGTGTGGCTCCCGAGGACGTAGGTAGTTGCCGAACCTCGTTAAAACTTGGTGTACTTTTTCTGTTCTGCATTTCTGTTGTCTTAGGGATTTCGGCGTTAAATTCCCAACAACTGGTATCAGAGCGTGAAACGATCTAGGGGAAGTCAAATTCAAGTAGGAGCCATGGCCGCAGATGAAGGAAAAATGAGACTTGAGAAGTTTGATGGAACAGATTTCGAATTCTGGAAAATGCAGATAGAGGATTATCTGTATCAGAAAAATCTGTATCAACCACTATCGGAGAAGAAGCCGGATTCTATGAAGGCAGATGAGTGGAACCTTCTAGATAGACAAGCCCTCGGAGTTATCAGATTGACGTTGACTCGCAATATTGCGTTCAACATAGCGAAGGAGAAGACCACGGCGGGTCTTATGGCAGCACTCTCAAATATGTATGAGAAGTCATCAGCCGTGAACAAAGTTTATTTGATGCGGCGGTTATTCAATCTGAGAATGGCGGAAGGCGCGTCAGTAGCACAACACCTCAATAAACTCAACACGGTCACAACCCAATTGAGTTCAGTTGAAATTGAGTTTGATGAGGAAGTTCGGGCGTTGATACTTTTGTCTTCCCTACCAGAAAGCTGGAACGCTACAGTCATAGCTATTTGGTTTTTAAGATTTCTCCACAAATCTTCATATCGGCGAAATTTTCCCAAAACTGAGCCGACACCAATACAAACCAAACGTCCAACTTGTTGCGTTCAATACGAAGTGGAATAAAACCACAATAACGGACTCAATCCACAACAAGTAGAGACCCAAATGAGAATGCGATCAGTCTCCAAACGTCGGTATCAACTAACCAAACCGTCTGCATCATAAAATAATTGTCTATGTATCCTCTTGCCCAAGGATTCAAGCCTTCACGTAGTTCACCCAAATGACATTCAAATGCCCTCAATCAAATAGAAGAGTTCTCAACTCTTCACTAACAAATCTGCGGCTGATAGCTCTCCTAATGGCCCCAAAATGAAACAAACTAAACACCTCTATCTGAGATGAACCAACGGCCATATCCAAGTCCAAACTATGTCCATCAGCTGCACTCGAATCAACCAACTCATAATCTGCATCCAAATCCAAATGATTCCTAAACTGTGTCACCTCAGTTGGAATCCTAAACGATACAGTATGATCTGGAATATGTGGAGTAATCTTCACCCAATGTGGATTAGCATCACCCTCCACTCGCTACGATATCCCAACGATCTGATCAACACTCTCCACCTGCTGAGAGTCAAATGTAACATACCTGCTCAGAACAAAATCAGAGTCTCCCAACTGATAACCAAACGAGCCTCTGAATCCCAAATATGCTATCGGATCAAATCTCACATCCTCGATGTGACCAAATGCTGGGTAACAAAACATCCGACGCAACCTAAAATCTGAAACAGATCCACCAGATCTAAAATTTTCACACACAACAGTCGGCAACCTATGACTAAGATGATCCAAATATGTCGAAGACCGAAAACTCCTTTGTATCCAATGCTCGACAACCAACATTGATCCTCCTTCAGCAAGGAACGACCCATCAAAACTATCATCTTATCTCGCCGCCTCAATGTTTCATCTCCAATGAAGTGTCTCAAACTGTCGTAAGCTCGGCACAAACGCCAAAAAAAACCCTATAAAAAATAGAACAACGGGTTACTTTTCTGCTAATACACTTCCTCCATCTGTTATTGACTTCTAGGACTTCACACCAACGGGGCTTGGTTGCAACCCACCAATGCCTAAAACCTTCCCCAACCGCGGAAACTAAATACTGATTACCTCTCAATAATGCCTCCTTAGAAGGCCCCCAAATGCCTGAATGAACAACACTTAAAAGAATTGTTGAGATCGAGAGTGGAGATCAAACCTTGCAGGCGAGTTTCTCCAGCGAGGACAAAGCTCAGGCGAGGTCGATGGCAGCTGCAGGCGAAGCTCGAGCGCGGGGGCGAACTTTGGGCAGGCGAGATCTCTGTCAGGCGAGGGTTCTGTCAGGCGGATCTTGAGCAGGCGATCTTGTGAGCTGTAAGCGAGCGCTGCAGGCGAGTTGGCGACTTGCAGGCAAGATCGAGCGCTCGTTTTGGGGTGCGATCCAGGCTGTCGACAACCCATCGACAGCTCAGCTAGGGTTTCCCTATAAAAGGGAAACCCCAAGCTCGAGATGTGTTGGTCTTCTTCTCCTCATCTTCTCGTGTTCAGAGGTGGCGGATCTCCTCTGTCCTCTCGCGTTTTTTCTCCAGCTCTCTCTCTCTCGTGATTTTGGAAGAG